ACATGCCATTTGAAGTTGCCATGTCAGAGTATTTTTATATATGGAAAAAATTTTATATCGCACAGTGATTCTTTGTTTTTTTTTTGTTTGTTCAAAAGCAAAGGAAATTTATGAACAATAGTTTAAAGTGTATAGGAAGCCCTCGCCGTCAAAACGCACCGTTCAATTTAAGGCTGTTGACTTTAAATGTAGTCGTACTAGCCTTGAAGACGATCCACGCGAAAGAAGACCAAAAACCGCAACCACACCAGAAATCATTGAGCAAGTTCATAATATTATTAGTGAAGCTCCGAGTTTGACAAAGCTAGAAGAAATTGCTAATGCCATAGGCATCTCCAACTAACGAGTACTTCATATTTTACATGGAGAATTACATTTGAAAAGCTGTTTGAAAAGTTAGTGCCAACGTGTGCGGCGACAATTCAACAAAAACTGGATCGGAAATAAATGTTTCAGCATAATTTGGTGCGTTTTAAGCAGAATAAAACCGATTTCTTGCGTCGTTTTATAACAATGAATGAGACTTGGATCTACCACCATGATCAGAAATTGAAACAAGCACGTTTACAGTGGACTGAAGCTGGTTGTTCAGCTCCAAAGCAGGTGAATTCACAAACAATCAACTCTGACTATTATTGCAGCCTTTTAGATGAGCTCGTTGAAAAGTTTCGTGAGAAAAGACCGGATTTGCAGCACAAAAATATCATTTTTCAACAAGACAATGCACCACTCACAATGGTGATGCTCACAATGACAAAATTCAACGAATTATTTGGCTCCCAGCGACTACTACCCTTTTCAGGAACCTGAAACCATTCCTACGTGGAAAGAGTTTTTCGTCGAATGAAGTAATTATTACAGCCGTAGACGAGTATTTTGCAGAGCTTCCAGAAAATCATTAGCTAAGAGAGATTATATTGAATTAAAAAATATATTTCGTACCAAAAAAGTATTTTTCCATTTCGAGCGCAGTAACTTTTCAACCAACCTGTATATAATCACTTCCGTTATTCTAAAAAACCGTATGCCGAATATGTTCGTCAATGTGTGAGTTATTTATTTATAAAATAGTTGAAAATATATTCTCGAGCAATCAGCCCAGACCTTTACTACCTCCAATATACACTATATAGTGATTTTCGACTTTCCACCAGGCTTCAAATCGTTAAAGTTGGTCACAATGTGTGATTATTTAGTGAAATTAAGTGGACAAGCTTTATGCCAGATATATCTCATTTGGGAATGAGTTTAGTAAAATTTTCGCTGACAGGAAGTAAAATATAAATATAATAATCCATTCACAATTTCGTTAAATAATCAATGTTGAATTCTTTCGCAACATTTTTAAAATCAAGTTGCGCCAAAACCTGAGGGTATTTCCCGTGCTTTTTTTTCGGGGGAGGTTGAGAAAAATGCCTTCCGCATCGTCACCATGTTTCCTGTTAGACCATTATTTTATGTTTCAGATTAGCCTGGCCTTCCATCTGCCGTTTTTCCTGTCTTTTTCCCGGTCCTCTGATTTTAGACATCAGCCTGCTCAGTTGACTAGTTATCATAGACGCTTTTCCCGTGCTTTCATGCTTGCAAATTGCAATCGTATCAAATCTTCTGTTATACCCGAACTTCGCGCTTTCTACCTTGTTAAACTTTTTTTTTCAATTTGAGAAAGTATTTTTCGAATTTTTTTGATAATTTTTAATTTTGAAATTTTTAATTTTGCCTTGCGAAATTGTAAGAAATTAGTGAATTTTTATTTTAATATTGTTGATTTAATGTTTAATTTAAGATGCCAAATTCAATCTTCGCATTCCGAACTTTTAATTTCAAATTTAAATTCTCTCCGGCATTTGAATACAAAATTTTATCTTTAGTCACAATTTTTTTCAAATTAAATTCATCGCATTCATTCCAATTCTCACATTCCGAAGCAAATTAAATATGTCATACCAGTCAGTTACCTGTCATAACTGACGCGCCGCTACACAGAGAATATCTTAAATAATAATGCGATGCCAAACGATAACGGGCGCAATTCATTAGCGGAAAATATGCGAAATTAAGACAGCTTTTCCTCGAAGTATCACATAGGTGAAAGAATGACCTTGCTGCCTGTCTAGCTTGACAGGGATATGTCAAAAACTAAGTGTGTGCACAAAGCAAAAATAAAAATAAAAACCCAAACAGCAAACATAAATTGAATGTGGCAGCGCTTGTTGCACGCTTAGCTCCAACACGCGTTACGAAAGTCAACAATATTTAAAGGTTGGCACACACAGCGTTTAGTTACTTTGAAAAAAAACGTAAGAGGTACCCATTCGCCCACACAAGCTCGTGTATGAATTTTGCAGTTACGTTTAGGTAGACTAGTCGTTAGGGTGGTTCATTTGTTAACAACAAAAGTAATTGAGTAACGGACTAATCAGAAATTAGAAGCACAGATATCGCACCACTATAGCATAAAACTCCCATACAAACTATCAAAAGCCAGTCCTTGATTGGAAATTTTTTTTTTTGTGACAAGATAGCTTCACAAAATTTAGCATAGGTTATTTTCCAAGTCAATGCTATATTCTCCAAAAAAAAAAAATGTTCGGAACGGACCACTACAGCATAAAGCTGATATACAAATTGAACGATCAAATGAATATTAAAAAAAAAACATACAAAAAATAATGGTATCACCCTCATGTACAAGCCTATCCGAAAGTGGGTACATACGTGTGCATCCGTTTTGAATATAAAGTTGTATGTATTATATATATATTTTTAAGAATTTTTTGCTTGCCTCCCCCTGGCTAATTGCTACGTAACTTTGACCCTGTAATGTCCTCTTTATATTTTTGTTTGTTGTTATTGCATCCTTTTTTTTATTTTTTCCACTCACAAAATTGTTTTGTTATGCTAAAACTCAGTGCAGCGCATATAAACAAACCGAATGAGGGCAACAAGCTAAACCGTAGATTTTAAGCAGACTACATATGTACATATGTATTCACTCATAAGTCCCGTTATGCAAACATACGGCGTCTTTTATGCTCCTTATCGCCGGTGTAAATGTCTGCGGTGCGCTTTTGTGGTTTAATAACAGTACAATACGTTAAACTAACACACACATAACGGCAATAAATATTTCATTCATGCCAGATGTAAGTGAGTATGTATGTATGTAAGTGGCTGTGTGCTAGTAGACGTGAAGACATTTGCGCAACTGGCTACGTGTTAATGCTTTTCGTTAAATGTACTCATCGCTCTCACCCAATTTTTGCACATTCAAATGAGTATAATAAAAATTAAAGATTATTTTTGCTAAAGTAATTAAATTAATTAGTGCTTACTTATAGTTATATACATATATATATATATATATGTGTGTATTTACTGTTGCTTTTCATTAGCCTGTTGGCTGTAAAGCTCGGCATTACCTTACTGTTGAGTAAGCCAACTCACCAACTCTTTCAGAATATTATTACTCAGGAAATGTTACGTATACGCCATGTGATACGGTAGAGTAGCTTTGCCAACAACCTTTTCTAAATTGCACTGCACCGAGTTGTGCTTGTATATGAAATATGCAATATGATTGATAAAAATATCTGTAAAATTTTGCACAGTTTTGTTCATCGATATAATGTAAATCTTTGGCATAAAATGGCTTAATATTTATGTTTATTATATTTATATTCAAAAAATATTAAATAAATATTTATTTAAATACTTATTTAAGAACTCAACTATAAGTTTGGTGTTAAAATATATTTTTAAATCTTACATCAGACATGAATCTTAATATCAGACATAGTTATTAACGGTAAGCATATTAAATGTTTTTCATAATAAATTATATTTTTAAATTAATTTTACTTATTTGTAATATTTTATAATATTATATATAATATTGCGGTAATAAAAGTCTTGAGTAACTCGAAAATTCGGAAATACATCCACTGTTCAAATATGAACATGTGCATTGGTGCCAAAGGACATCACCTACTCGGTGCGCCGCAGCATAGATAATATTTATTAGCTTTGGTGTTAATAATAATTAATATTATGCCTTTTAATACTATATTGCCTTTACAAATGTAAAACGAATCATGCTGATAGAATTATTGTCAATATACCTAATCACACGTAGAATATTCATAGCATAAATTAAATTTAAATATCGATCCCAAAATATCTTCCCAAAAATGTTCCCTACAATATTCATTAATAAATATTTGATTAAGTTTGCAAATTATTATCATTACATTCATGAAATCATAAAATAGCAATTTGTTCGCTCTAATAAATTTTATTGAAGCATATTAACGAATAATTTATGATATGTTAATATACACACATTTGCATACATACATGTGTATCTGTCCAATCTGCCCCATGCCACGAGTTTCGCATTTATTTTTACATTTCAACTCATTTGAAATCATTTTCGAATTGCATCCCACAATTTTTTTAATTTCCCGATATGTTTTCAATTTTCTCGTTTTTCTTCTGTGCAATGCTTACATCGGCCCTTTTTACTATTTTTTCTTTTTATTTAATAAGCAAATTTGTAGATGTATTGTCTAAATATTCAGTAACACTTACAAATCTTAATGAAAATATTAATCTAATTAAAATTTTTGCGCGAAAAAGTATATACATATGTACATACTATGTGCTGTTATTATTATGAACAGCTTGAAACGCTCGTGTACAACCATTGTATAAATATTGCTGATTTCTACAATGTGTACATCTAACTGCCTAATTTTTGCTTACATATAATATACCGTTATAACGGCGCATAGCAACAGTAAAGAACAGTATAAAGTGAGTAAATTAGCGACTGTATTGAATAGCGTAATAAAATTGGATGGCGTGCTGCTATTTTAGTGAACACAACTGTATATTTAAGTATTAGCAAATGCAAAACTCTCTTATTTTTAAAAGCCTATCTATCTCATCTCTGTGTTTAAGTACGTGACATTTTTTTATCCCACCAATTTTGTTCATAAAAATATATTTGTTTAAATATTATATATCCCTAAAAACATTTACGAGTATATACATACATGTAAACAAGCCACTAAACGTGCATATTAGCATTTATATATTCTTTGACACACGACAACCCTGCCTGTGCATGCACTTTACGAAGCAGCAGCAAAAGTAAAATTAACAAATACCGCTTGTCATCTCTTTCGCACATATAGAAGTGCTTTGGAACTGACATTTGTACGCTCACTACATGTGCGCGTTCATTCGCACTCACACCGCATACGACCCTGACGAGCGATTATTGATCATTCACAATGGGGGCAATGCAAAAATCTATTTCGATTTTTGCTTGTACATTTTTCAAGATGGCCGTATCGCATTCAGTGTAGACACGAGAAAGTGTAGCAATCTTTTTTTTGCAATAGTTTTGCTTGTTATCTAACATAAAAATACATATTAGCACTTTGTGTGTAAAGTGCTACTGTGAAAGTATATAAATATATTAAATATTTTAAGAATTTCACATTATTGTGAACGCTGTGGTGGATAGAATTTTTTTCTCAATTGCAGCGTTGTTGTTGTTGTTTAAGTTGTGCAGTGGCGGCAGAATAACGCACTGTGGAAAAAAATTGTGACACTCCAAGGAATTTTTGATAAAAATCTTATATCTTTGCGATTTTTAACGGTACTATCGAAATTGTATAGTGATTATAAGCACAGCATAATATATTCGCTGCATTGGAAAATTGCATGAATAGTTAATTAAACTTGATTAATTGCACGCTAGCTTACCGCTGGCAGCATAAAATGCTCATAAATCTTCATGTGGCGGCAAAATTTTGACATTAAAGCAACAACCACTTATTTACAATAACAAAATTTAGAAATATCTAATAAAAACAAACAACGAAAAACATTCATAAAGAAGTGTGGCTTAAATAGTGAAATTGTTTGGCTAAAAGCAAACAGTGAATAAAAAGAAAGTGGTGAAAATGAGTAGTGAACTGATTGAAGAAGGTGGTGTTATTGATACCGGCAGCGATGAGGTGTTATTAACGAATGGTGCAAACGAGACGGACGAAGGAGTTGCCGAGTACTTGGAAGAGGTAAAGGTTGCAAAGTATTTCTATTTAGTATATAAAAAAATTAAAAAAAAAAAAAAAATATGACTAAAAATGTATACCTTTCACACATTGCAAAAAATTATACACGAAAATTGCAATTGTAAAACAAGAAACTGCTTTTATACATTTCATAATTTACAAACGCTTTCTTCCTTGCATTTCAATTCCTTTACCATTGTTTTACGTTACCGCGTGAATGGTATACACAATTTTTAATGCAAAATACTAATACTCCTCCCATTTACAGCACGACCCAATGGTAGCTGACAACAAGTCGATAAGCCCAACTAAGCGTGGCCGCAAACCACGCCGGCCGGCAGAAGTAGAAGAAGAGGATAATGTTGAAGCACTTGAAGATGAGGACGAAGGTGAAGTAATTGAGCATATTTTACAAGACGAAGATGAACCAGATGAAGAGGAGGAGGAAGAAGGCGAGGATGAGGAGAAGGAGGAAGTTCATAAGCCGGTTTTGCACAAACCAACACAATTGCCGAAAAAGCGCAAAGATGTTGCAGTTAAGCAAAGTCCAAATTTGACAGAAAAAGACGAAGAAGATTATGTGGACGATGGCGAGCAGCCAACAAGTACGGCACGCGAAGCTGCCAAAATGGAAAATCATGTCGATGAGAATCAATGTCGTGTCTGTACCAGCAAAGACGATTTGGTCAGCCTTTTTAAAATCATCAATAAACAAACAATTGCCGATAAATTAATGAATATATGTCCGACCGTGTCCATTGCTCCAAAAGATTTTATGCCACAATTTATATGCAATACTTGCTTGGATAATGTAAACATTGCTTTACAGTTAAAAACACAGTGTGAAGATACTGAGCGAGAATTGAGAAAGAAACTTTCACGCAGCAAGAACAAAGTACGACGACCGGCTGGTTATGTGGTCATAGATGCAACGCTGGACTCTGATCCCTCCGATGAAGAGCCGAATGATGATGTAGAATTTAAAGTCTCCGACGATGGTGGTATAACGGCTGAAGATGACTCGGATGATTCTGATTTTGGTACCACAACCAAAAAGAAACGTTCTCCACGCGGAGCCGGCGGTAGAAGAGGTCGGCGTAAATCAGCGGCAGCAGGAACACCTGGTCCCAAATTCAAGGAGAAGAAACGAATGGGACGGCCGCCAACAAAGCGCGCACCACCACCATCACCCACTTTAATTAAGGACGAAAGCAGTGAGGAGGAATATGTTAAGCCACAAATAAAAAAACGTAAAATAAAGGGTACACCGCCGTCGGATGAGCAAGAAGAAAAACCCACAGAATACCCTTGCGATGAATGTGAGCAAGTATTTACGCGTAAACTATCATTAATACTACACAAGAAGGCGCATCTGCATCGTGAACCACTTAAATGTGAAGTATGTGGACAAATGTTCAAAATACAGGGTGCTTACCGTAAACACGTGCAAAAACATAACGAGGAGCCGTCAACATTTGAATGCCACAAATGTGAATACACCGCCACCAGTAAGGCCGAGTTACGCCGTCACTTAGTTGATGAACACGACGAACAGGGTGTGCTATATCAATGTGAGAAATGTAAACGGAAATTTGTGTCCGAAGTGCGTTTGGAGAAACACAAAGAGATTCGTTGTCCGGGCCAGGAACGACCGATGAAAATGCGACACGATGTTGAGAATTATAGCGTTGGAAAGGACTTATTTAAATCCGTTGCACCACTCACCACCACATACTGGAGTGATAGCTTTTCCGATTAAATACATACGGTCTTATCGATTTCTATTAGTTAAGTGTAATGTAATAAATTGTAATCACTTTAGTTCGATCAACATTGCCGTGTGTAAATTTCAATGAAGTCTCAATTACTTTGTCGGATATTGTGCCCAAGAAATAGTAGTTTAGCAGCAATTACAAACATAGTTCCAAGTGCACATTTTTAACAATGACAATGTGCTGACTATATGTATATTCAAGCCATTTGATAATTTCGCTTCATTTGTATATACGTATGTACGTCAGTGTTAGTTTATTGAAATTTAAAATACAAATGACAAAATATGGGGCTAAAATTTTAGGCAAGCACACCATTATATTTTAAGCAAATAAAGTTTTGTTATAAGTATATATGAAATATTTAAAATTTACTCCTAATTGCAGTTATGTTTTAATATTTTAAATAAATATTTTACGTTTTCATATTAAAGTAAAAAAAAAATATTCGTTAGAAAACATTTATTTCATTACAACACAAATCCTAGCATTAATGGTTACCGTAAATCAAAATTTTGTAAAAAAAAAAAATCTACTGCTAAGTAGCGCGTTGTAAAGCACAGTTCTAGTATATCATGAAGTTGAAAAAAAAACTACTTTTCTGTAAAATTAAAGTAGAATAAGTAAAAGAAAAACAAGTAATAAAAATTACGCTCTTTAAATAATTTAGTTGAAACTAACTGAAAGTTTCAAAATAACTTCTCGATAGCAGGTTTGTATGAGTAATTTTTTGCTATTTACATATTTTCCGTATAAATACTTTATGTGTGCAAACAACTCAACTAGGCGTAAATACGCAGCGTGTGCTACATACATGCGTTACGTTGACGTATTAACAGTCACAAATGCACGTAACTGTGCAGAAAAGCTAACTACATAATATATGTACATATGTAAGACTTATGTATGTAGGCATGCAGCATAATTATTTACACAGGCAGATTTAAGTGCATAGATATGCTATAAAAATAAAAATGTGTGTATTTTTATATAATAAGTGCTTATATGGACCGTATGTTTAATTATTTTAACATTTTCAATAAAAAAAAATGCATAAGTTTAAAATATTGACGTCTATTAATTATTTATTCAATTTTAATTTAATATTAGAACGACAGTTTTTTTTTAAATAAAAAGAGTTGACTAATCGCTATAATAGAGAAAGTTAGTCATTTCAAAGTTTAATTAAAAAATCTACAATTTTAAGCGTCAACAAACGCGAACGCTCTGCCTTAATGTGCACAATACGTCAAATTTGTAACGGTGCTGCTGTAATAAAACTTTGAAAGGTGAATTGAAAACTAAAGAAAAATGAGAGTGAATGAAGTGATTAAAATAGATATTAATAAAACTAAATAAATAACCATCAAACGCAGTCTTTCGGAAATTTGTGATAAAATATTTGTGTTTTTATGTTTTGTGTTTTTGCTTTTAATGTTTATATCAGAAGTTTAAAAAGTTAACAGTTATTCTCAATTTATGTAGTACGTGTTGATAAAGTTATTTGTTGAAGTAAGTAAGTAGTGGGGTTTTAAAATACAAATCTAAGGTTGGATATACATAATTATAAATGAGTGTTGTCCTGACAAAGAGCTACTGCATTGATGTGCCTCAAATGTTATTTAATGTCATGGGGACATTACTTGCCATAATTTGTTAAATCGCGATGTTTATATACATAGTCTTATTAGCTGTTATTATTGCTGTTGTTGTTGTAGCAGCTGCCTGTCCTTGGCCGCATATATGTATACGAAAATCAGGGTTCATTTGAATTATAACTCCCTTGTATGGTACGTTTGTATGTACATTGTTGTGAAGTGTGTTGTTATAGTTCTTGCTGTCCAATGTACCAAAGGCAGTCTTTTAGTTTGTCTAACGATATATGTGTATGTATATACATATTGTACATGCAAACGTTTATTTATTTCTCAGTGAAATATTATATATATAAAATTGTACTAAATGTCATCTAGTCTCTCGTGATGGAAATTGAAATTATTTAGTGGAAAATCATATAATTATCAACATACGGACTATTCCATGTTGAAGTTTGCAGTAATTTATTAGGAATTTTACCGCACAAACATTTGCGAAAATTTTATGAAAAGGAATGACAGAAAAACTCGATTTGATTTGCTGGACTCTTTTTGCTCGTGTGAATGCACAGAGCGACACCAAAAGAGAATTTGCCGATAATGAGGGACAAAAGAATCCCCATGTAATCGCAGTAATATAGATACTTCATTTCAGCAAATACAGGTTCGAAGTTTTTATAAGACATGGTTTCCATGGAGCTAATAATCTTGGTTGTGATGATAAAGCTGAGGTTGAGGATGAGAAAAGCGATGAATGACGTGCCTTTTTTATACCCTGAACAGGGTATATTAATTTTGCCACGAAGTTTGTAACACCCAAAAGGAAACGTCGGAGACCATATAAAGTGTATATATAAATGATTACCGTGACGAGCTGAGATGATTTAGCCATGTCCGTCTGTCCCTCTGTATATACGCGAACTAGTCCCTCAGTTTTTGAGATATCGATCTGAAATTTTACACCTGTCCTTTCCTTACAAAGAAGCTGCTCATTTGTCGGAATGGCCGATATCGGACTACTATAGCAAATTGCTGCCATACAAACTGAACAATCGGAATTAAGTGCTTGTATGGAGAAATTTGGCATGGATTATTATTTGAGACAACAATGTAATCTCCGAAGAAATTATTCAGATCGGATGACTATAGCATATAGCTGCCATACAAACTGAACAATCGGAATCAAGTTCTTGTAAGGGGCCTTTGTATTTGTGAAGGGTATTATAGCTTCGGCGCAACCGAAGTTAACGTTTTTTCTTGTTTTATTATACTCTCGCAACTTGTTGCTACAGAGACTGAAAATGGGTGAAATCGGGTGACAACCCCGCCCACTCCCCATATAACGGTACTGTTAAAAACTACTAAAAGCGCGATAAATCGAGCACTAAACACGCCAGAGACATTAAATTTTATCTCTGGGATGGTATAAGATGATTTTATAGGAACAACGTTCAAAATTAGATAGTGGCCGTGACACCGCCTACTTTCAGGTGAAAACCCATATCTTGGGATCTGCTTAACCGATTTCAATCAAGTTCGGTACATAATATACTTCTCATATCTCTATGTTATAGCGTGAAAATGGGCGAATTCGGACTGCAACCACGCCTATTTCCCATATAACACCATTTTCAATTTCACTTTCCAGTATGCAAATCAAGCAACAATGATTATATCGGCGTAAAACTTTGCGTGAATAATACGTTTAAAGTATGCCACATTGTGACCAAAAATTATCTAAATTGAACCAAAACTGTTCGAGCCCCTAGGTACTGAATATGTGGACCCCAGTGCCTATAGTTGACTTTTTACCGAAAATATCGGTCAACAAGGACAAGGCGGCAAGATCCACAAAGAAATCTAAAACGAGTATACCATTTGACTTTGCGAGGGTATAAAATGTTCGGTTACATTTGAACTTAGCCCTTCCTTACTTTTTTCTTTAATAAAAAAAACTTGTTGTAACCCTTTGTACTCGAGCGGCGCCTATTTGAACTGTCAACTTGATGTTAAGTGTGAACTCTAGCAGTGCTGCTGCAGCGCCGCAGTGCATTATGGTCTTTTGCAACTCGATCTCTTTATTCACGATGCGCGATAAGATATTATTCTCTGAAGTACTTTCATGGACTAGGTTCGGCAGACGTTGTAGCCAAATCTAGTTTGTTTATAAACATTTTTTTTTAAAGTGCCTGTAAAATGTTGGCCTAATAACAATACTACCCAATTTATGGATTCTAAAGAGGGACAGTGTCGCTAAAAGGCACAGCTAGTGTAACAGTCTAAACAAGGAAATTTTTGAAAATTAAGAAAAATACTGTATCAATATTTTAAAATTTTAAGCGTATATTTATATATACACATTTTAGAAATACACAGTAAAATGTTTGAAGAAAAAATTGAATATTTTTCGAGTTACATGCGGCGACTAAAAAACAAGGTTCACTGCTGCAGTGATTCCGGCCTTCTCCGCCGATGAAACCTAAAAAAAAGTTCTCTACTAGAAGATATTGTTCATTAAAGAACCGACGCTCGAAAAAATAACAAAAATTGACGAAAAAGCAGCGTTTTAAATAAAAAAAGTTAAATTCTACCTAAAATTTGTTCGTTTTTGAACACCCAAAATTACCAAAAATAATTTTTGGAGAAAAACGCGTTTAAAAATAAACTAATGGAGCTGATTGTACGCCTCGGTTACATCTAGTCTGTAACTCAAAAGCTATTTGAGATATCGATTTATAATTTCAAATTTTTGTTATTTTTATTTCAATCTAGGTGTGCCGCTTAAGTTGGCTAAACAAATTTCTTCTTTTTAAAATACAAGTTGCTGTGATTTTTGATGAAAAAAATATGCATGTGTTGTTTTTTTTTTGTAGTTATTGGTTGTGGGCGTATATGTGTGAAAAAGCATACGGAAATCATTTGAAATAAATTCAGGAACCTTTGGTGTACCACAAAATTTATTAAAGGGTGCAACAAATATATGTATATAAGCCATTTCATTTATTTAATTCTCATGCAGGTGTGTTGGATGGCACATCTTCTGCGTTCTCCTTTCCCAATCCATTGAGATTTACAAGTATAAACAAACCATTAAGTTCGAGCATTATTTGTAAATCCATTTCCAGAATATGAAAGCTCATGCCAAACCAAGCAAAAAACCATTGAAGTGAATGACTGCAAACAGCTAATGCACACAAATACAGTTATGTACGCATGTATGTTGGTAAATTGCCAACAACTGTATAATAAACTAATTCATTTACAAAGTCTGACATTTTTCAGAGTTAAAGCAATACGAAAGTCTCGTATATATTTGTACATATATTGGCCAATGAGAATGGCAGCAGAATGTAATAGAAATGACAAGTGGAAATTGCCTTAATGACCGAATATAAAAGGCAAATTGTTGACAGCACCTTTTCCAGCTAAATTGTATATAATTTTATTTGTAGTGTCTACTGCACATTCTAACGCAATATTATCAATATATACCATGTTATATATATTATATATATATATATATATATACATATGTATTTAAGTTTGTACTTTCATATTTTAGTATATTTACACTTCTAACGGTACATATTACATACCTACATTTTCATGCACCATTAAATTTTTGACCGAACCATTAGGCAAGTGAATGAAGGTTGAATAGAAAAAAAATAATAATAAAAAAACCACAAAATATTACTTGACTTGCAGGACTGCCTCCAAAAGCTGAGAAGTAATTGATTGAAGTAAAAGGGAAGCACGAAGCTTTTCCATCACCGTCAGCCAACAACTGCACCTGCCAGTTACGGTAAGCACATAGTGCCACAATCCAAAGGAGAATATGGCAAATGATTTTATGCACGCTCGGCATGATAAGGGAAAACGTGATTTCAATTTTTAATCCATTTACCATTGAACGTGCGTACATGAAATGGCATAAAAAAAACCCCCATCACCTTTCAATGCTGTGTGAATTTCTGTGCCACTAGATGAATAGCTGCTTTCCAAAGAACGGCGCCTAAGCTAAGTCTTTAGGTTTGCCAAAACCGATATTCTTCTCAACATCGTGTTGTTTTTCCTTTCGTTGTAAACCGCAAATGTGTTGCTGACTCGAATTTTACTATAAACTCGTATCTGTGTGTGTGTGTCCGGACCGTGTTGCGCCTTACACTTCTGGTCATTGTTCGGCCATCAGCTTGCGCCAGTCATTTTGTTTGCTGATGAAGAGAAATGATTTTCGGTAACTCGATAGAATTTGAAGTGATTTCTGTATTGGTTGTTTGAACAAGTGGGCATATTGAGGATTTTATGTGCTTTCTATTGTATTATTATTATTTGTTTTGAATTTTTTCTAAATTTAGTAAGATAAAATTGCATACACGCATATAACATACAATATAAACATACGCATATTTATATTATTTTATTTATTTATCTGAAATTTCGTGCTTGAGTGTTAGCCAATATTCCAGTCATACTCGTACGATGCATCATTTGAATATTAAACAAGAAAAATCGTCAACTTCGACTGCACCGTAGCTATACTACCTCTCACAGGTGCATTTCTTTTAGCAACTACATATACATATGTACGAGTATAACTAAATCGAATCTGAAAACATAACCGACCAACGATTATTAATTAAGATTACTTAATAAGGCTAAAAACTCGTTTATGCAAATAGATATATCTTTTATTAAGATCTTTTTCTAGATTTTGTTTGGTCAGTTTGTATGGCAGCTAAATGCTGTAGTGATCCGATCTTAATAATTTGTTCGGAGATTAAACCCTTTTTTTTTTGTTTTGAAAATACCGCATGCCAAATTTCGTGCAGATATCTTGCCAAATAAAACAGTTTTCCTTACAAGGACTTGGTTTTGATCGGTCAGTTTGTATGACAGTTATATCCTATAGTGTTC